TAGTTGTAAAAGTTTTAAAGACACTGTACATTTAGTGCTGTGATGACTTGTCTGTTAGAGTGAATAACATTTGAAAATTCAAAAAAAGTTTAAAGGACAGATGTTGTAAAATGCCATATTGAATTGTAAATTAACATGTTTTAGTGATCAGATTTGCACCACTGTTTAAGAAATATGTGAAGAAGTATCAGTGGGAAGCTTGATCTAAATCAATGATTTAAATGAGGGTTTTCTCCTGGCAATTTAAATTGCCAGCAATCATCCTAAACACACCAAGAAAGTAGGGCTGTGCAGTGGCAACGTGCTGAAACCCCATGTGCAGATCCAGGGGCCCGCGCCCCACTGGAAGAGCTGAGGGAATCAAAGTGGGAGCTGGGGGAACATTCAGGTCCCTGAACATTCCCCCAGTTCCCCAAGCTTTCCTCCAGCTCTTCCCAGGAGGTGCGGGCCCCCAGATGATGTGGGATGACAGCACACTGCCACTGCCAGCTGGTGATGGCGGTGGCTCTGGGCTATTTCCCCAGCCAGCAGCAGCAGCCTGCTGAAACTCCATGCACAGATCCTGGGGCCCATACACCCCAGTATAGCTGCAGGGCTGTGTTAGACTCCTCTGGGGGCTGCGGGCCCCTGGATCTGCATGGGGATGACCGTATGCTGCCACTGCTGGTTGGGGCCAGTGGCAGCACCAGTCTTCCTGGCATTTGATAGAGGCTGCAGAGAGTGCCAGTCCCAGCCACCAGCAGCAGCCTCCTGTTATCCTGCACACAGATCCGGGGGCCTGTGCCCCCCGGGAGGAGTCTGGCACAGCCCTGCAGCCCTCCCAGGGGGGTGCAGACCCTGGATCTGGGTGCGGGATGACAGCAGGCTGCCACTGCCAGCAAGTAATATGAGTTTTGCTCTGAACAGTTTGAGGTGGTTTCCCAGAAACCCCTGCACCTATCCCCTTAACACTTGACAGGCTTCATGCCGTCAGAAGGGTCCACCATCCCCGAAAGTTTCATCCTAAGCAGGCAAGAAATGACGAAGTTATAGGCATTTTCATGGATTCCCCAATCCAGCCTATGGGCAAAATGTTGAAACGCGTCAAAACAGCGAAACGAAACACTGTCCCCTTCAAAACGGCGAAATGGAAACTGAAACAAAATGGTGCTGTTTCGCACAGCCATACAAGAAAGCTGTAATATACAGCCAAGCCATCTGATACCACTGAATTTGCACTGAGAACACCCACAATCATCACCTCACAAATCTCAAAAGGTCTTTCACTCAACAAGGACACTCCTCCAGAGAGATAGATAGCACTTTTGAAAGAGCCACCTGGATACCATGTGAAGAACTGCTGCAGTACAAAAAGAAAGTTCCCATGAATTGCACACCATTACTCATGAGTCATGATCAGGGATCTGAGTTTTCTGTTTCCGATGGAAAAACAGAGAAAACCACAGATTCCCTGTCTTTATCGCATAAAATGCAGATTTCTCCTTTCAGCAGAGAAATCTACAGATTCTCCGCTTTTGCAAAGAGCTCTTGCAGGCTGGCACAGCTCTTTACAAAATCCCCAGCCCTGGCCAGAGGCAGAGGCAGAAGGGGGAGGGCAGGGCGTGAGCCTCTGAGGCAGTCAAGGCTGGGCTCAGGCTTAGACTTGCCCTTCACCCCTGGAGCATGGAGGTCAGTGGGGCTGTGGGGCAGGGCTGGGGAAGATGGTTGGAGGCTGAGTGAGCGGGGGTGCTGCTGGCCCCATGCGGCACATCACAGCTGGGAGCAGGGCCAGGGGGTGAGGGCAGGGGTGCCCCACTGCAGGGGGCTTCACGGGCAAGTGATGTGGGGAGCACTGCGTTGGTTCCTGCCATGTGCGGGCCACACACATGCTCCCCAGCGGCCTGCCCATGGGAGGGGGAGAGGGAGGCTGGCATACGGTCAGAGCACAGCCGCAGCAAGGGATGGGGGCGCGGGTGGGGGGGCACGGGCTTGCACGTGGCGCTGCCACTTACGTGGAGGCATGTTATGGCAGCAACAGCCGCTGCCTCCAAAACCTCCCACTGCCGCCACGGAGTCTTGTTCAAATCTGTGCAGCCGGAGGCAGCGGCATGGCTGCGTGCCACCCAGCCACCACCACACTGCCGCTGCCGCCCAGCTGAACAGCTCTGGGCAGAGCTCCAGGGCGGCAGAGGGAGGTTTTGGAGGCAGCAGCCGTCACTGCCATAACAGGCCTCCAGGTAAGCAGCAGTGCTGCATGCAAGCGCAAGCTCCCCCCACCCCCCAATCCCTCACCGCGGCTGCAGAGCCAGCCACGGAGCCGTGCTCCAGCCACAATCCAACCTCCATCTCCCCCTCCCCTGGGCAGCTGGCCGGGTGGCATGTGTGCGGTCTGTACATGGCGGGCACCACCACACTGTGCCCTGCATCACTTGCCCGCCAAGCCCCCCAAAGAGGGGCACCCCTGCCCTCACCCCTTGGCCCTGCTTCCAGCTGCCATGTGCCGCCTGGGGCCAGCAGCACCCCCACTCCCTCAGCCCTCAAAACATCTTCCCCAGCCCTGCCCCACAGCCCCCAAGCCCCACTTACCTCTAGGATCTAGGGGTGAA